TATATATATCCAAATATATTAATGGCCGACCAACGCCCCCAGGAAATCTCCTAGAGGGTCAACAGCCTGAATTTCCCCCACTCCCCCCCGCCACTCCCCCCCACACATACACACACATATACACACGCAAACCCAATTGAAAATAACGTACATGCACTGCAGATTCCGTACATGCACTGCAGATTCACATGTGCATTTTGATGTGAAGATATATTATATATATGATGCCCATTGATATACAAACATTATTTACCGTATTCCCATGCATGCGTACATACATACATACATCTACCACCCTGTAACAACATACATACATCTGCATCTGCCGACACGTACGGTCCGTGCTGTGTTCGATGTATCTTTCACTTTCATTCGCGCCCTCTGCTCTCTACATACCCTCTCACTCAATATCATCATCCATACATTTCATGTAGATACCATTTCCCTGCTCCAAATCCTCCGCCCTCTGAAATCTTTACCAACATTACCAAGCTAGGAAATATCTCAAAAAAGATCGCATAAAAACTTGTTTAGGAAGGTACACATACATACATACATACGTACAGTCTCTCAGTCAGTCAAACAGCCAGCGATGGACCTCACACACACACACACACACATACACACACACACGTGCTGAGGTTGTTTTGTTTGAGGGCCTTGGTAGCCACCGCGTCCTCTTTATCCTCTCGACAAGACAAAAGCGGGAAACGGGGGGGGGTCGCACAGGCCCATGCGGTCGAGCAGTACCAGGGGACTGCGGGGACCCCTCACGCCCCTCCCCCCCCGCTGCTAGGGGGAGAGTGCTTCGGAGGGGGAACCGTTACCGTTGGGGATTTTACGGTTTGGAACCTCTGGCCAGCGTCCCAGGCCCGGATAGATATGTAACCAACACATAGACACATACATACATACATACTTAGGCACACATACAGATATACAGACATACAGCTCCTCCGCTGCAGTGCTGTGACGCTCCCCCTCCCCCCTACAGTACGACATTATACGACTCCAGCAGACACGTCCTGCGTAACAGGAAGCGGGTGCGTATGTATGTATGTATCTATAAAAAGGTGAGAAAGGAAGGAACGAGAAAGGCAGAGAAGGTCAGAAGAGAGAGCAGGCAGAAATCCGTTGTGATTGCCTATATAGTCGCACACGTTCCAGAAAATGCACAGGCGATGTAAAAGTGAATTTAATATTAAAAAAACATTTCAAAAATGAAGCACTACAGCAGCACACATCATCATCATCATCATCACCTCTTGTCACATCATCAACAAAAGCATTTATGAAACAAACCTCCCTATATAAAACCCTTGTGCAATTGTGAACAAACCTTTTCACCGTCCTCGACGCCGTCCCCCAAACTCTGCGTCCTCGGTGTGTATGTGGGATACCGCAATCGGCCGTACACTGCAGTACACACGTACTAACCGCCCAACCAACCTGCAGTACTTTCTTAGTCACGAGATCCGCGCTGATCATGGTGAGGGGGACCCCGTTGCCCGGGCGGGTGGACGCTCCCACGAGGTAGAGACCGCGAACCTGATCAAACCCCCGGATGAAAGCGGGGGGGGGGGAGGGGGGGGATGGAGGGGAAGAGAGAGGGGAAGGGGTAAAGAGAGGTGTGTTTCGGAGGGAAAGCTGTGTGTTTTGGAGGGAAACACAACAGGACACGACGGATGTTCGCCTCCGGCCCATCCAGCCGACACCCGGTGGTTGCCAACCAACTAAATAAACCACCTCTCGTCGTCGTCAAAAGCAAAACACATCACCGCACGCACATCACGCCACATCTGTAATCGCCCGACACCGACACTACCGACGCTATACCCGCAATTTCCCGGGCCCCCCGGCTCTACACATACATACATACACACACATACACACAGCTCAGAGCCCACCCCCAACCGCTACCTACCTGCTTATCAGA